CTGTTACTACTAGCGTGGCACTTGTTTCTACTAGCTTCTTGTTACTAGTAGAGTCTAGGTGCGAAGGTTCCGGCAAAACAAAGCATGACAAAACACACCACGTACGGCAAGAAGTCCGGCGTACCGGCGTGCCTGAACTTTCAGGCTTTTGTGCAGGTTTTGACGGGCAAATGATGCACCCCAATCCCAGAACAGGGTGGTTTAGGGCTTCTTTGGAGGGATGGACAGGGTTGGGGTGGGAGTAAGGGATATCAGCGTTTGAGTTTGTCTCACCAAACATGTCCGACATATCAACATGTCGCACGGGGCTTCTTGCGATGATGAACTCGATGAGCCTGTATGACCTTTCGGACTAACATGTTGGGTACCTGGCCCTGGCACTTCCCCCAAGCTACTAGGGGCTCCTGGCATCGCTACTAGGAGCAAGGACGCTACTAGGGGCTCCTCCCCTCGGAGAAAAAGCACAAGATCCGCCCTTCATCGGTCCGTCGGTCGGGCCGATGGCCTGCTCACTAAGAATCTGTGCCACTCCCCAACTGGATTCATTGACCACCCTCGTGGGCCTCAAAGGGTCAGCGAGGAGGGTTAGTGAAGAAAAGCTCAGAAACACTTTATCTAGGCTTGAAGTTTTAAAGTAACACAATTGTACAATGGTGGCTACACCCCATCACGCTTGGCGTGGGGTTGGGCCAGTTCTGAGTGAGGAAAAGTCAATTCTGCCGGCATTGGCATCCATCCTCTGGGCTGAGGGGCTCAAAGCCATGGACAACCAAGGCAGACTTCCTGTGAAAGTAGCGATAGGCCAAGTACCTGCATGCAAATCTCTTTGTCCTGGTTTGCATTCCCAATGTTGAAAGAAGCAACGGGTTGAGGACAAAAATTGTCCAGCGATTTTTCTGCGATTACTTTGATACCCGAGGACGTCAAAATAAGAACCCAATACTGCCAATGCTTGCATTTACTTCCCTCGCAACTTAGCCGAGGCCAACACCACCTCAGCTTTACAGTAACCTAAGTCGGGATCTACTCATGACTCCCACCTGAGGGATCGTCGCTCGATCCGGCCGTCGCTGTTCTTCGGCAGGGTGATGTACATGGGGTGCAGCACCTTTGGGGTGCGAAAGGTGCTGCACTTGCTTTGTCTACCAGAGAGTCCTCTAACCTCTGCAGTAGGTCTACAAGTCTACCTTGAATACAAGCACCCGCAACGCTTAGTGTTTTGGTCTCAAAAAATACCCACACCCCAACTGAAGGTAGTCAAGGTGGTGGAGGAGGAGGAGGAGGAGGGAGGAGGAGGAGGTGGTGGTGGTCGTAGTAGTAGTAGTAGTAGTAGTAGTAGTAGTAGTAGTAGGAGTAGTAGTAGTAGTAGTAGTAGGAGTAGTAGGAGTAGTAGTAGTAGTAGTAGTCGTAGTAGTCGTAGTAGTAGTAGTAGGAGTAGTAGTAGTAGAGTAGTAGTGGTAGTGGTAGTGGTAGTAGTGGTAGTATATAGTAATGATCGTAGTAGCAGTAGTAGTAAGTAGTCGTCGTAGTCCCCAGCCTCCTCAATGGTTTTCAAATGCTGCTCGCTAATCTCGCCGCCACAACCCAATGCCTCGGTAGCACTCGCACAACAACCGTTGAGGCTGACTTGCACAAAGCTGCTCGGACACCCGAAACAGCCACACCGAGGGGTACCCGGGGTACACCCGTCAGGATGCCCTTAGGCCAACACACAGTCTCAAGTGGAGCGAGAAAGCGATGGTCGCTCACCCTCCCGTCAGCCCGTCAGCCTCATCCATGGCGTCTCTTATTTGCGCCTTAAAGGTGGCAGCATCCACTTTGGCGGCCTGGCAAAGGGAAGCACTTCAAGACCAACACAAACAGGGAACAAAGGCTCTTCTTGACCCAAATAGAGAAGTTCACAGTTCCTGAAGCTTGTTCGAAACTGTGTCAAGGGCCAATCAATTGATTGCACTGAAACAAAATTGCGCAGAGCCTGTCTCAGGCTGTGCTTTTCAACGGAGGTTTCTGCGCGGCCCAGCAAAAGCAGGCCCACTAGGACCTGCAGGCAACGTGAAGCATCCCAAACCCATATGAGCGATGGTCAAATTTGTTGTGGAGTTGCAGGTCATCAGGATTTGGTGAGTGTATGATCGTTTTTCCTGTCCGTCATGTTATTGTTTTTGCTGAGTGTTACCGTTTTCGAGCGAAGCATGAATTTTTGAAATCCCATGACCACTCACTGGCCATTGCTCACTTTCGCTAATTTTGAGCCTGGCTCATATGAGCATGAGCAGCGATTCTACAACAAAAAATGTGCCTGGACGAAAAGACATTTTCGTGGAGGCATCGCCTCAGAGTCAGCTCATAAGGATCTTTCATGAACCGCATCTGATAGAGTCTGCTCGTGGAAATGGATGATGACTTTTTGAAGCTTTCCAAGGCAATGGTGCCTGCACAAAACAGATTCAACGGTTCTAGTAATTTTAAACACCTCCGAATACGGAGCACCCGGAATCCCGGAAGAAGTGAAGCAAACGCACAAAGCAAGTTCCATCACTGGTGTGGCAAAGAAGCACACTCACTACCTCAGGGATTAAAAGCTGAAGGGCCAGCATTCAATGATGCTCTCCGCGCCGTGTCCGAGCAAAATGACACCAAGGCTCCCGGCTCGCACGGCTGGTAAGGTCAGGGATGTGTGAAACACACGCCGGAACCTGCTGACATCGCAAGTTCAAGCGGAAGCTGTTAGGATGACATCTCCAACACTGACGTACATGTTCCCATGTACGTTCCACTTCAAGGTAGATGATGCTCAATTGCATGCTGGCGACAGCTGCTCCAAAATCAGCCAAGTGGCGTGAAGGAGATTAGGGTTTCGATCTCGAGCACAAGAGTCGCGCTCTGAACCATAAAAGGCGGAATGCAGCAAGTTCCGTGTACACTAGTATGTTGAGAACGGGCCAGAAAGCTACTATGTCTAGTTCAGTTTCTGGTTTAGTGCTTTAGGAAGCCTCCTTGTGAATACAATGGCATACACAATTTTAACAATTTCAATACTTTTTGCAAATGAGAATGATGAGACTTGCCACGAGTAAATCAACCCGATGCAGAAGAAACGTGACCATAGGTCATGTCAATTCGTCAAGAAATCTGAGGCCCGGTGCCTTTCGTATCCTTCCCATGAGCACGGCAGAGGGATTGAGGCCTGCAATGGAGCCTCACCAAAACAGGATGCTCTTTCACAACGACAAAACAGCCCAAACAAACCGGGTCGCACCATTGGCTGCTCTTGAGCGTAGGTTGAGTGATGTTGGACATGAATCAGCACAATCCCACAAAGCTCTTCAAGCCTTCCGCCATCACCAGCTGTTGCAAATGAACTGGCCTCACCCATCAATCAAATCAAGTCTCTCTGACTGAGTCTTACCTTCCACTGTCGGATTCCTTCACTCTTTGCCTTTTTGCTCTTGAGTTCCCAGCAACGCTCTCAAAGCTTGCTCCGAGTTCTGGTCCGCACCAGCAGAGCGGCAGAAGACGCCAATGACCTCAGAACTACCCGAAAAAAATGGCGACTACAAATCTTTGGTTGAAGCTGTTCAGTTGGAGGCAATCGCTATTAAGTTGGAGGCAATCGCTATTAGGTTGGAGGCAGTCGCTATTAGGTCG